CCCCTTCCAACAAGGCTGTGAATTCGCTGGAGGCCAGGCAAGCTGCTGCTCTACCCGCCGACTCGCAGGTGGCGGCGAGAAGTAGAACCTGCGCGGGGGACGGGGCGGGGGCGGGGTGAGGGGGGATGAGGGGGGGGTGAGGGGGCGGGGTTGGACGGCGGAGGAGGGCTTGACGGTGGCGGCGACGGGGCTGGCGGGCTTGGCGGCGGCGGGGCGGCGGCGGGCTTGGGGCGGCGGGCTTGGCGGCGGGGGCGATGGCGGTGGTGGGGACGGCGGAGGGGGTGAGGGAGCGGGCGGCGACGGGGAGGGCGGGCTCGGTGGGGGCGGCGACGGGGGAGGCGGGCTTGGCGGCGGCGGGCTTGGCGGTGGTGGCGATTGCGGTGGTGGGGGCGACGGAGGGGGCGGGCTGGGAGCCTCCACACACCTCCAAACGCCCTCCGCCTTGGCCCCCTTCCCCTCTCTTCGCCGGCGCCCCTCTGCGCGCTCGGCGGGCGCGCGCTCGCGGCGGCGTTGCTGCTGCAAGCCGCCGGCGCTGCGCCCCTTTCTCGCTCATCGCCGCTCTGCGCGGCTCCCCCCCCTGCGTCAGGTACTGCTTCAGACTGCCTAGACAAGGCGCATGGCTGACAGCAGCGTGGCGCCTGCGCAGTCATCGGCCAAGCGAAAGGAGATCTACACCTACACAGCGCCATGGCTGCTGTACGGCATGAACTGGAGCGTCCGCGCAGGCGCCACGCCGCGCCGCGCCGTCCCTCTGCCGCCTGCGCCGGGAGCGGACGGGGCTGAGCGACGCTGCACGGCTCCTCCTTGCGCCGCCCGCCGCCCCTCCGCGTCGCCCGGCCGCCCGCCGGCTCGTTAGTCTCTGAGCGTGCGGCCCTGTGACGTGCGCAGACCAGCGCTTCCGGCTCGCGGTTGGCAGCTTTGAGGAGGAGTACTCCAACTCGGCGCGCCGCCGGTGGGAGGGGAGGATGCGCCGCGAGCGCGGCCCGGGACCGACGGGCGGGAGCGGAGTAGGTGCGCATCATCCAGCTCAACGAGGAGACGCACGAGTTCAACGAGGTGGCGCAGTTCGAGCACCCGTACCCCGCAACAAAGATGATGTGGATCCCGGACGCGAACGGCGCGGCTCCGCCCGGCCCGCCCTCCGCCGCCCTGCCCGCCCTCCGCCGCCCTGCCCGCCCTCCGCCGCCCTGCCCGCCCTCCGCCGCCCTGCCCGCCCTCCGCACAGCGCTCGTCACGCGCCGCGGCTTTGCGAGAGCAGGCGCGCGGCGCGACCTGCTGGCGACGACGGGAGACTATCTGCGCATCTGGCGCACAAAGGGAGAGGTCGGGCGGCGAGCCCTCGCACCGCCGCCGCACCCGGAGGCGCATCCGGCTGTAGGAACGTGGTCGACAACAAGAGCGTGCGGTTGGACGGCCTCCTCAACAACAACAAGAACACGGCGAGCCGCCCGCGGCCTGAGCCTCGGCTGCGGCCGCCGCGCAGCCTGACCGAAGTGGTGCCCCCTCTCGGTAGGAGTTTTGCGCGCCGCTGACCTCGTTCGACTGGAACGAGACGGACCCGAACATCATCGGCACGTCGTCGATCGACACGACTTGCACCATCTGGGACGTGACGCAGATGCAGGCCAAGACGCAGCTCATCGCGCACGACAAGGAGGTGTACGACCTCGCCTTTGCGGCGGGCGTGCACGTCTTCGCTTCCGTCGGGGCCGACGGGTCGGTGCGCATGTTCGACCTCCGATCGCTCGAGCACTCGACGATCATCTACGAGTCGTCCGACGGGCAGGGCGGCTCGCCCCTCCCGCTGATTCGGCTCGCGTGGAACAAGCAGGACCCAAACTACCTTGCGACCATCACGATGGACTCGAACAAGGTTGCGATCCTCGACATCCGGGTGCCGTCCTTGCCAGCGGCGACGCTCGAGGGGCACTCGCAGTGCGTCAACGCCGTCTCGTGGGCGCCGCACTCGAGCTGCCACGTGTGCACGTCGGGCGACGACAACCAGGCGCTCATCTGGGACCTGAGCCCGATGCCGAGCCGGATCGAGGACCCGATCCTAGCCTACTATGCCGAGTCGGAGGTGAACCAGGTGCAGTGGTCGAAAACGCAGCCGGACTGGGTGGCCATCTGCTTCGACAAGAAGCTGCAGATACTGCGAGTCTGAGCGCGAGAGGGGAGAGGAGGAGGACGGGCCGTCCCCTCTGCCGCGTGCCGCTTCGCCGCGGCGCGCGCGCGGTGGGCGCGAGACGGCTTCCTTACTGTGCCGCGCTACCACACTGTACCGTCATCGTCATGGATTGCACCCGCGGGCCGGGGACGCGCCGTTCGCCGGGGTGCGCGCGAGTAGCGCGCGCTGCTCTGTCTGTCGCGGGTTTGTGCCACGTCTATTCGGCGCCGCGGTCCCGGAGTCGCCAAGAGTTTAGCCAATTTTGAACCATCACTAAAGTTCATTCACACGCACTAAATTTATCCTCGCGGCCAAAGGATATCCACCTCGAGAACCTCGAGAGACCCAGCCAGGCGCCCTCCGTGAAGTGCTCGCCGACTGGCGCGTCGACAAGTGGTGGCGTGAGCTGCCGTCGCGCAACCTGCAGCCAGGCATGCGGAATCAAGGCGAAACATCACGCGCTGGCGAGGACGAGTCTGCGGCGGCGGGTGAGGAAGAGGGGGCGGTGGTGGCGGGCGAGGAAGAGGCGGCGGGCGAAGAGGTGGCGGCGACGGCAGCCTCGGATGGAAGTGGCGGCAATGGTTCTGGCGTGCTCGCTCTCTGTCGTGCGCTGGCGCACTCTGGCGTGCCCGAGGACGAAGGTGCAGCGCCCAGGCGGCGCTCGCTACGCAGAGCACACCGAGGTGGGGAGCGGGAGCCCCCACCAAAGCGCAAGATGCCGGAATTCTCAGCCGACGGGCGGCGCCTGCGACCGGAGTGGCAGCGGGAGTTCTCAGTCGCCGGGAGAAATCCCAAAAGGTTTTGGCAGAGGCAGGCGATGGGTGCCTTTGTGCGCGGCGTGATGAGCGTGGGCGAGGGCGGCAAGTGTGCCCTCTTTGCGGTGGGGCCCAAGCATGCCGGAGTGCTGGCCAGCGAGGGCAGGTCGGCGCTCGCCATCTACGAGTTCCTCGCCAAGGAGGCGCCGGCGCCTGCAGCCTTCCAGGCGGCGATCGACAGCTTGCCCGGCGCCATCGAGAACAGCAAGCTGCTCGACGGCAAGCGCCGCGTCCGCTCGCTCACCTTCCACACCGAACTGGACCACCTGGTGGAGCTGCTTCGCCACCCGCACCTCCAGCCCGTGCTCAAGGAGGAGCACGTCAAGGCGGTGGAGGCGCCAGACACCACGCGCTCGCTCGCTCTCGAGGTGCAGAAGATGCTCGCCACACTCGAGACCAACTGTGAGGTGGCTACCCGCACAGCCGCGGCCACGGCCGCGGCGGCGAGGCGCCGTTCGGGCGCAGCGAGCGCGCGGTCGGCAGCCGACGCGCTTGTCAACCTCGGCGGCCGCGGCGACTCCGACGGCGAGGAGGAAGAGGATCCACTGCGCCAGCTCGGTGTCCTCTGCGCACGGCAGCCTGGCCTCGCCTCTCGATCAAAGAAGCGCAGCGCGTCGCTGCCGGAGAGGCAGGCGATGGGTGCCTTTGTGCGCGGCGTGATGAGCGTGGGCGAGGGCGGCAAGTGTGCCCTCTTTGCGGTGGGGCCCAAGCTTGCCGGAGTGCTGGCCAGCGAGGGCAGGTCGGCGCTCGCCATCTACGAGTTCCTCGCCAAGGAGGCGCCGGCGCCTGCAGCCTTCCAGGCGGCTATCGACAGCTTGCCCGGCGCCATCGAGAACAGCAAGCTGCTCGACGGCAAGCGCCGCGTCCGCTCGCTCACCTTCCACACCGAACTGGACCACTTGGTGGAGCTGCTTCGCCACCCGCACCTCCAGCCCGTGCTCAAGGAGGAGCACGTCAAGGCGGTGGAGGCGCCAGACACCACGCGCTCGCTCGCTCTCGAGGTGCAGAAGATGCTCGCCACACTCGAGACCAACTGTGAGGTGGCTACCCGCACAGCCGCGGCGGCGCGAGGCGCCTGCCAGCGACTCCCACGTTTGAAAATTACACACCCATGAAGCATGATGCTGCGGGAATCAAAACTCTGTGTTAAAAGTTCGTTTTACCATCGCTCATACAGTTCCACATGCACATCATCATGTTGTTCCACAAACATGTAACAGGGGACAAAAAAACCGAACACTCAAAAGTGAATGCGGTTTCATTGAACGAGGTGTGCATAAACCAGACACCACTATGTTATATCATAGGATATAACATACTGAGATACCAGGCTCTTCCCTGGCATATCAGCTATCAAGAAACCGTCTGATTTATAGGAGGAGGAGCTCTGTATTCTGCTTTTTCGACACATCCCACAGAAAACATCCGGGCCATGGGAATATCGGTCCAGACACTCTGGGTTCTGGTTTTTCGAGGTGTGAACGATCTCCCCGTGGAGGGGTCATTCCGGCGGAATGACCCTTCATTAACTAATCGGATTCCGAATGGGTCGAACGGGAGTACTAAGACAGCAGCATGTTCTGGGTGGGAGGAACCCTTGGGGGGAACCGTTTTATCGCTCCAGGCATTATGGTTTCTGGTTTCTGGTTTCTGCTCCGAAAGCGAGGTTGGCGGCGCGCCGCGCTGCCACGCACTTTTGTGGCTCACGGGAGGGAGGCCTGCGATGCGGTCGAGTCCGCCAGGCTGCCGCGATCCCGAGCGGAAACGCCGTGGCAGCCAACATGGCTGCCTCGTGCATCGGACGCCGACCGGCGGGGCCGTTGCTTGTCATGCCCAAGCCCTGAAAGGCTGAGCTGTGAAAGGCAGGCAGGCGTTGTGCGAGTGTTTTGAGTACCTATCACCTATCAATACAGTGTTTGGATCTACTCTGTTGGAGACAGAAAGAAGCTCTATCACAACGTCGGCGGAGCGGCCAATGCGCGCGGCGATCTTGAGGGCACCACCAGGAGCTGGCAAGGCCTCATCGCACGCTACCACACGTGCCGATCCGTGCCGAGAATTACCCGCACCCGACGTTGACAACCTCAGCTTAACACTCATCACCAGTCGCGACCAATCGGAGCAGAAACCAGAAACCAGAAACCAGAATGCACATGCCGCTTTTTTGCTGTTCCCACTTGAAAAAAATCGGATGGGGGTTCACCTGTTCATTGGCCGGAATGAGCTCATTAGGACGAAGCGGGAGATATATTCACACCGCAGAAACCAGACCCACGGCAGATCCCACGGGAAATCGAGGCGGGTGTCCCAGAAAACAGATCCCAGAAAAAACAGAGCGCGCCGCAGAAACCGACCGACCCCTGGGTTTTCGGCTATGGGAAACCGCCATGGAAAACCGCAGCAGAAACCCTATGGGAAACCGAGGTCTGGTGTCTGCTTTGTGCACGAATGCATTGAACCGATTACGGCTCTGGCGCAGGGCGCCGGCGAACCAAAGAGGGCAGAGGGGCCGAGGCGGCGGAGGAGTTGGACGTGTGGCGGCGGTGCCACCTGCCGGTGCATTGCGGGTAGCGGCAGCGAAGGACAGCCTTCCTTCACAGCGAGCACAAGGCAGTGGGCTGTGGGGGCACTGGCCCTGCGCTGCGCATGAAAACAACTCGGCCCGGCCAGTCGGAGCCTCCAGCAGCGAGCCGCGTGCGCTTCCCTCCTCCACCGCGAGAATGCTGCCCCGCGCGGCCGCCGCGCCACGCCGTCGCTGCAGCGTGGCCGCCGCTCCGTCCGCCTGTACCGTGCCGCTGCGTGCCGTTTGGCGCTCCGCTCTTGTGCCGCTCGCCATCTCTGGGTGAAGACCCGCGGCAACCTCCGCCTCCGGCTTCCCTCGTCGTGCAGGGCCCGCGCCACTGCGCTCCCGAGAGGCCGCTTACTGGACCGGACACATCGCCTGCTCGCCTCGCCCCTCCCGCGACGTCTCCCTCCGATAGCTCGACTGCCGCAGCTTGGTCTCTGCGTCACCCCTCCGCGCCGCGAGGTAGTCGTATCGGGTCTTGCTCGCGGCCGCCGTCCAGGGCAGGATGCGCTCGAGCCCGGCGGCGTTGAGCAGGTTGGTCGCGCCCGCCACCAGTAGCAGGGCGCCGAACATGGAGAAGTTGAGCGCGACGACCCACGGAAGCGTCCCGGGCAGGCACTGGCGCGACGGGCCGCCGGCGAGCCGAAGGTCGAAGCTGAGGACCAGCCCCGACCAGCCGAACCACGTCGTGAAGTCCACGTACCAGCAGGTCAGCTGCGCGGGGCCCTGAAGCCAGTGGGCGCCGCCCTCGGGCCCCTTGCCCATGTCGTAGAAGCTCTGGTCGGGCGTGGTGCGCGCGAGGCTAGCCGCGAGGACCAGGCCGAGCAGGACGAGCCCCCAGTAGGCGGCGGCCCCCCAGATAGGGGAGGTGAGCTCGCCGGCGCG